GGGCAAGATCAAAAGTTTGGTATTAGGGGCCCAAAGGTTAAACTACGGAAGAGAGTTTAGTTATTCCATTCGTGCGATCGCAGAATTGGGAGAAAACTGACGTTGTGGAGAAAAGAGACTAGGGCATAGGAATACCAAGATATTTTGGTAGAACGTAAAGAGGAATCAAATTCAACCACGAATTAAGGTAAAAAATGTTTTATCATCTTTATTATGTTTGATTTTAAGGTTTGGATTATGGTAGAATTGCCTTAGGTTTTGGTGAATGATGAATTGGTGATGTTGGATGAGGATTTGATGAATTAGAGATGAATAATGATGCCCAAATGTTGTATAATCGATGTAGTAACATAGGATGTTAATAGATAAATAATCCTTATGATTAGATGTAGTTTTAGGACCTATAATATGGTAAAATCACATAAAGTTTGAATTGGTTTGTGAAGGAATCACAACAGGAAAACCATGTTCGTGTTGTATCGCCGGGCGACGGAGGTTGTGTCGCCGGGAGAAAGTTGTATCCCATGCAAAAGTGGAGGCGAAAGGGGGTAGAGAAGATGACGCTTCTGTAATGCGTCGCTCCTGGTGTCGTCAGGAGATTTGGGACATGAAGGTTGTGTTTTCGGGCGACGAGGGTGTGTTGTTAGGCGATGGATGGTAGAACTGGATGACTATTTTGGAAATCTTAAAATGATCACAAATTTAGTTCTAAAACTCTTTGATGTGATGTTCGACGTGTTGGATAGTTAACACAGTGAAATATAATTATGTGGAATAAAATGAAGGATAAGAAGGATAATTCTAATATCTAAGTTAGAATATAATTAGTTTCCCTCGCATTGAATCGCTATGATGTCTTGTGATAGTGAAGCATGATGATGATGTGACGATCTTGTGATATTACTTGTTTCATAATGATGAGTATGTGATGTATATGATAATGTGTTGATTTATATGATGATTTTATGATGTTGTTTTAATTACTTTTATGCTATGGTGATACTTGTGATGATTCATGAATGGTGATGCATGTTGATAAGTCGTGGTCGTATTATTTATGATATTGCGTATTATTGCATCCATGGCATGGTTTAGGATTTCGGTCCAGTGATGATGGTAGGACAACTATCCAATGAAGGCAACAATCCCATCGTGTGGATTGGGTGCAACAGTGAAGTGCTATGGTTCCAAGTGAGAATCGATCCTATTGGTGAGGATCTTTGGAGATTTAAGATGATTGAGTCATCAGTGACATTTTGATACCACATGCATGAGTCTATGATGATGCATTACATTCTATGTGACATTGAATTCGATGTGTTTCATTGATGAATGATGATACTTTGTATATGCTGATATATGTGTTCTTAATTGATGAATTGGCGAAGGTGTGAGTATAACATGAAGATGTGATGAATCATGATACCTTGATTATATGGACATTTTGCTATTGTCTATACCTTATGTCTTATATAATGATTATGATTTACTCACCCTTTCTGTTTGAATGTTACTTCCACGTCGGTAACGCACAAGTGATCAAGAGTAGTCTGTAGGATCTTAGAGGATAGCTTCAAGATACGTTTTATTTTCTTTCAGTAGAATAAGGGAATCTTGATCTGATATGTAACATCGGGGTTGGGATTGTTTGTTGAGAACTATATGGCTCTGTTTACTTTGATGTTTTCTAAATTGCATTGTTATAGTATTGATATCCAAATTAGATCATGATGTTTAACTTGATGAATTATATGAGTATCCAGATTATAGATGTTTTGAGATTTATGATTTTCACTGCAATAATTTGAAGATGCTAAATGCATATTATTTGGTTTATAGTTTTGCAACTCGTGTTACGGAGCAAGATGCATTATTAAGATGTTTTTATAAATATGTGACACCCTTATTGGTGATATTACTCTGATTTATTTATTTAAATAATTGCGAAAATTCCTTGGGTTTAGAAGGGTGTTACACTTTGTACGGCTTGAAGCAGACTCCAAGGTAATGGTAAAAGTGCTTTGATTCATACATGCTCCATATTAGCTATAGAAGGTGTGATTATGATTGTTATGTGTATATGAGGAGCCTTGATAATGGTTATTTTATTTTCCTGTTACCTTATGTTGATGATATGTTAATTATTGCCAACCATCTGTATGATGTAAATGAGTTGAAGAGAAAGTTGGGAAGGATTTTGATATGAAGGATTTGGATGTTGCAAAGAAGATTCTTGGGATGGAAATTCATAGGGATATAGGAGCTATTAAATTATGATTGTCTCATAAAAGCTATGTTAAAGGTGCTTTGAGCAGATTTGACATGAGTAAAGCAAAGCCTGTGAGTACTCCCATTTTAAGCTCTCTTTGAAACAATGTCCGAAGAAAGACTCATAGATTGAAGGTATGTCTAAAAGTCCTTATGCTAGTGCAGTTGGTTGTTTGATATATGTTATTGTTTGCACTTGACCATATTTGGCATAAGCAGTTAGTCAAGTGTACAAGTTCATGTCCAAGCCAGGGAAGCATCATTGGGAAACAATCAAATAGATCCTAATGTACTTGAAGGGTACATACAACGTATCATGGTATCATGTTCAACATAGAGTCGGGTGTTCCATCATTTGTGGGATATGTGGATTATGACTATGCACGCGATCTAGATGATAAGAGGTCTACAACAGGGTATGACTTTACTCTTGTGAAAGGGCCTATATGCTGGAAATCATCAGTTCAATCCATAGTAGCTATATCTACAATTGAGGCAGATACATGAAAGTAGCTAAAGCTGCCAAAGAAGCATTATGACTTATATGGTTAGTCAAAGAGTTGGGTCTTGAGCAAGGTTGAGTTATGTTGCATTGTGATAGCCAGACTATTATTTATTTGGCGAATAATCAAGTCTATTATGCTAGGACCAAGCATATTGATGTGAGGTTCCACAAGATCATATAGTTGGTGGCGTCCAGACATATATTACTTAAGAAGGTTCACGCTTTAGAGAATGTAACTGATATATTGACAAAGTCAGTCACTAGTGACAAGTTCAAACATTGTTTGGACTTGTTACATGTTTCCCAGTGTTAAGTATGAACTACACACTCTTAGTTGCTAGGATATGACATTATGTAGTTAATCTTCATATGAGTTTGATATTTGTCAATGTGGAGATATTGAGTTTGGCTCATATGTAATGACAAGTGGGCAAGGCCTGGAGCCGCAAAGTGGCAATGGGCTTTGTCGTTGTGTTTGACCCAAGTGTTTGTTAGGGGTGTGATCGCCCCCTGTAGTGCGGTTTAAGGCTATTATTATAATCTGAATCATTAATATCACTATATATACTTGTAACAAGAAACCCTAATGTATAATTCAGAACAAATCAATAAGACGAAACTATAACTTCTTTATAGTCGCAGAGATAGACAATTTAGTCGAACTGCGTGAAGAAAGCTTTCGTGAGTTTCTCTCTATTCTGATATGTAATTGCGTATCTGTTCCAACAGTAGGCATATCCTATTAAAAGCTCTCAAAATAGTGGATACTCTAAAAAAAGAATTTTTGGGAAGTTGAATAGATCAAGTTAACATGTATAAATATCTAGTGACTTTCTCTCTCCCTTATCTCTTTTATTTTACTTTCTTTTCGTTGATTTTTCATCTATTTTTCTCTTTCCGCTCTCTGATTATTCGTTGACTTTAAAATATTTTTAAACTTTAATTTTTACAATAATATACTTGAACACCGAAAAGACAAGATAGACATAAAAGTACTCCTACTTTAATACAATAAATTTAATTTATCAAGATCCTTCTATTAATAAAAACTTCACTTGTTTCATGATTCAAATATAGTGAAAATAAATTTTGCTTAGTCAAGTCTTGAACAATCTGTTTATATTTGTGTTTGTACATAAAAGTCAACCAATGAAGACCTAAAACATTTTACATTTGTTCATACTCATAAACACCTTTTTTTCACTCAATATTTTCTTTTAAAGAAATAATAATTAAAGCAACCTCTTTGTGCACGACCCGCACTAGTTCATTAATCAAAATATACCTTTTTTTGTAGGTTATGGTGGGGCAAAGTTATCTACATAAGTCACATGTCTTGACAAAAAATGTTGTTGAATCCAAATTCAATAACCCATTATATTTATTCACCTCCTATGCTTGTTTAATAGGATTTGTGCTCTTCCCATGACTTTCCTTGCTTTTCAAGTTGCTCAACGAAATGTCTCTTTCATTTTATAGAGTTACTCCCATCGTAACGAAATATAAATAAAATGGAAGGAGAATTAAACTTCAAAATGAAATGTCAATTCTTTCATTGAATTTTGTAAGTTATTTGGTGAATGCATTGACATGAAAATCTCAAGTTAGACTTAAAATATTTTGTTTCCAGATAATTTCAGCAACACAACAGGTCAAAGTAAAATATTTTTCTTGCTTCAAAAAAAAATCATTTAAAATACTATTATTTCTAGATTTTGACTATAAAAATTATTTCTTTGAGGACCATTTATTGAAGTCAAATTATTTGACTTGGTGTATGGTCAAATAACTCTAATATGGAGTATAGTTTGAACTTGAAGTTCTAGTCAAGTTAAAACCCACCTTAGATGTGGGAATCAAAGAAAATTTTTCAAGTTAAAACAAAAAAAACATAAACACTTTTCATACAAATGATTGTATAAAGTTATTTTTATTTGAAAAGATAAAATAAAAAATAGTTGAATCCATCTAATAGATTTCATAGATTCCTCTACAAAGATCAATTCTATCAAATAAAAGCAACATATAAATTATATTACTGTTTTTTTTTATTAAGATTAAAATAATCTAAAGAATACATTGCAAAAAGGAAATATAAATCTGATAATCTTCCAATCATTAAATTACATATATAATGCACACTAAGTGGAACAAGAAGGTTTTGTGATGAAATACAATCCATTGTTAGACTTAAAAAAAAAGTGATTATTCTTACCTATATATGCTATCACCTCCTAAGAGGATTTTGCAACAACTTCTGAGAATTTTCAAAGAAATCCAAAAGATAATTCTCTAAATCATCAGCAGTGTATCTAATATTCCTGTCACTAATGTGACTATTATGCCTTCCAACAAATGTCCTGTAAGCTTGAATCAAGTTTTGAGATATCGAAATCCGCAAGTCTTCGCGAAGCTGAACATCCGGAATTGACCAACCTGTTTGGATTCTGTAAATGTCTTCGAAACCGAGGTAGAAGCTTCGTAGCTTCTCTTTTAGAAGAGTTTTCGAGACGGAATTTGAACCGGGCGCGTGGATTCCTTCGTCTTTAAGTAAGCTGAGAATTGAACTCCAAGAGGCTCTCTCGTATTTCATCGCGTGCTGCTGAAACTTCCAGTTGTGTTTTCGAATCCATTCGTCGCCGAATATGATCCGAAGTTCAGATCCTTTGACCTTTTCAGCCATGTAATGAAGGTTGTTCATTAAGAACAAGTGCTGCAATGAGGTTTCTTTGTATGATTTTGATTTCTCCTCGAGATTGTTTTCCAAGACGGAGGCGAACGATAAGAATTGTCGCGCCATCGATGGAAATCTACCGGGAGATTCATGGCTTTTGTTGTCTTCTTCGGTACCTGGACTTGTGTCGGGTGACGACGAAATGGCATCCTCTTCTTCTTGGTCTTTGAGAAGATGATTCAGCGCTTCGCCGTAATCGGCAAGAGTCCGAAGATAATTCATAACGTACCTCGCCAAAGGATGTATTCCGCCACCAACTAAAGGTGTTACTGACGGATTCGAATCAACCACACTTTTGAATTCGAGAAAAGTTATCCTCACGCAATCTCCCAATCTGTCTAGAACCTCGTGACATTCAAATTTAACCGAGGAGCCAGCCTCGTCCGGATACAAAGCATCGATGTCTGGCATAAGGCCAGCAAGAACTTCATACATGTTGAGAATTCGAAACAATTTTTCGGGCTTGTGAGGACCAATAGACATCGCTTCGCCGAAATTCAGAAGCTGCAAAATTGAAGCTTTCGATGCATCGACAAAAGAAACTTGGCTCGCAGGCTCGCCTTCTCCGAAAATCTGGTCGCTAAGCCACCTTTCACTCGCAAGGTAAACCCGAACAAAGATTTTCACAGCCCAAATCCATCGTTTGATCTTCGAATTCAAAGTATTCCATTCCATTTTCAACACATCTTCAATACTAAGCCTTTCCATTTCAAGAATGAACAAACACTCGTCCAAAGCATCTCTCCGAACGATGGTATAAACTTGCGAACATTCCTTCGCATAATTCGAAGCAAAAAGCAAACTCGCAATACACCTCAGATCGGGGATTACGTCCGGATGAACTAAATCAATGACATGCTCTTCAGCGGCTCGACTAACACTATCTCTTCGAAGTGATTCCTCAAACGAATCATCACCTAAAGAGACAAACGAATTCCCATCAGCAGCATCTTCCTCGCTTGACCGAAAAGAGACATACTCAGGCTCAAAAGGTTGCCTATTCTGGATAAGCAAATGGCTAAACTCTTCTTCAAGCCGCGTCATAGCCGTCTGAAGAACACTATGAGCCCTTTGCAAAAACTTATACTCTTGATCCTCTTTACTCAAATGCATACTCTCCAACTTCTCAATCAATATCCGCGCTTCATTAGCCGCGTTCAAATACTCAGACGCTTCCTCAGGTCCCGAATCCCAAATCATTGACTCATCTTCCTCCCATTTCATTATCTTCTCCTGAATCAAACCAATTCGTTTTTCAATAACACCAACACCCTCTTCCTCCTCCTCCCCCTCATTCACCGCCTCTTCGTCATCGATATCACTCTCGTTTTTCCCTATCATCCTCTCCTCCTTCTCATTCTCAATGTTCATCGAAGACAACCGCGATCCAAGATCCGCCAAAATCTTCTTAGTATCGCTAGTAAGATTCTTATTCGAACCTAAAGCTTCCACAATATGCCTAGCTGCAGCAATCAAATCCTCCTCTCTTTCTAACTCCCGAATCATTTTCACAGATTCCTCTTCAGCCATTGAGAATCAAACTTCTAAAAAACAACAATCACCAAAACCACTTCAAATTCAAACCTTTTCACCTCAAAAATCAATTTCAACACTCCCTTTTACAACAACAATCACCAAAACTACTTCAAATTCAAACTTTTTTCACCTCTTCAAAAAACAAAATCACCAAAACCCCTTCAAACTAAAACCTTTTTTACACCCCCAAAATCTACTTCAACACCTCCTTCTCCACAGCAATTTCCAAAACAACTCAGAACCAGTAATCACTAGAACAACCTTAGCAAAACCCACCAATCAAATCCAAGAACAAAAACTTCAAAAGGGTAAGAAAAAAATCCTTACTTTTCCTGCATACAACATTAAAAAAAAACAATTTTTTCATAAACCCAATTCAAGAAAACACTAAACAAACACAAAATATCACAAACCCATATGAACAAGTAACAAATAGCAACAAAAAAGAACACTTTTTTACCTCTAGAAAATCAAGAACAGCTTCAATGGACAGAAACAAGACTTGAACTGATTCTTCTTCAAGATCTACAAGGACAACATATGCAACAACAAGAAAAGCACTAAACAGTTCTTTTCTTGACTTTTTGTTTGACCGAGGAAATTATTGTGTTGTGTTTTGATGATAGAAAGAAATGAAATGAGAAAGCGAAGGTGGAAAAAAAATAAAGCTTTTTTGAGTTTAGAGGATAATAAATAAACATATATAACAAGAAATGAAATAAAATAATGGTGTGGCTGCGATATCTATGACCAATCTCATGTTTGTTTTTTTGCTTGCAACTTGTTTCAAACTACCCTTTAGAAAATTGAATATGTCGTATTGGTCCTTGATTCTCATTGGCTTTTTTGATTTGTTTTATTTTTTTTATATTTGGTGACTATGTTTCTAGGTTATGAACATTTGAATGAATGAAGTTTTAGTCAAAATACTATGAATGTTCCAATGTTTTAGTTTAGGGTCTCTCATTCATAAGTAAAGACTTGAATATATATTATGTCATGAGAATGAGAAAAATTGTAATCAAAGGAGAGATTCCATTAAAATTGATGAATTAGATTGTTTGACCAAAGTCTAGTCATTAACAAAATAGATATAATTTCTACTAATATTGTAATTGTCAATAACTTTATTTGTTTCTAGGGTATTCCTAACTCTTTGATTTTTTATGTTTATTATTTTAGTAATTAAGTTTCTCACAATAAATTATTGTTGCGTATCTTCTAAAAATGATTATTTTTCATGTATAAAAAACTTTTAGAGCATAAATAAAAAATGGTATTTGACCAAAATTTAACGCAGGTTGATTCGAATCATAAAGTTTGTGATTAGAATCAAGAACGTATGATATACATTATTCAAATTATATGGGACTTTGACTCGAATCATGAAGGTTTTTCATTTCTCAAAAGTTGGTTCTCGAAACATGATTTGAATTATGTGAAAGCATGATTAGAATAAGGGCAGGATCATGAAAATGAAACTTTATTTTTGAAAATGTCATTCGAATCATGAGTAGCTTTGATTCGAATCATGTGTTGAATTTGAGAAACATCATTTGAATTATAGTCTCATTTGATTCAACAAATCATTAACACTTTTTTTTTTAAAATAATCCAATGTTATAAATGTGATTCAAACCATGGTTGAGTGTCATTCAAATTCTGATTCGAACCATTGAATAAAATTATGTGTTTTTCATTTACTCGATTCACTTCATTCTCTCACTAGATTTGTTTCAGTCACAATCAAAAGGTCATTTTCACTATTTTTGTGTCAAATCTTTAGCACATAGACAATCCTCTTTATCTCTCTATTTTTAATATAAATAGGAGAATCTTTGATAAAATTTGTTATTCACCATTCACACATTAAATTTTTTGAGTGAAATTTTGATTTATGTGAGATTTTGTGACACTTCATCTTTTACATCAAACACTAAACAATATTGTCAAGTATGTGTGTTGCTCAAGTCTAAAGAAAGTGTGAGTTCATATTGTGACGTGATTCATTAAAGGTACTAATAATTTTTTGAATGCTTTCAAGATAGAAAAATAGGTTATTAGATTTATGGCAAGAGATTTTCATTGAAGAAAAAGAAGTCTTCTACAAAGAAGATTTTGGACTTTCTAGCATTTGTCATCGGATGAAATACTCGGGCAAGGTAAATCTCGTTAGAATCAAGTTATGATTGCTGCAGAACGGAAGTTTGGAATTCTTGTGATTTGGGAAGGACAGATAGCTCAATATTATAGATTTTGGAGTGTTTATAAGCTTTGTGAGTTGTGTACGGTAAAAGAAGAATTGAGAACTAATTTGTATATCTTAGTGGTTAGTTCTAAGTATTTCATCATTTTGTTTTGCTTAACATTTATATGTTGGGAAATAATCAAATCATCAAAATACTTTTCAAGCGGAATAATTTCTCAAACCCATGCAATTTAAATAGAAAACCATCATAATCAATTCTAAACCAGAATAATAATAATAACGGAATAATAAAGTAGCAAGAACACCAAATTTTTAATGGGGAAAAATTCACTCAAAGTGAGAGAATAAAAATCACGAGACTTAATCTAGTAAAACTTTCCATTATATTAATAATGGGAATACAAAAGTCTTCCTAGTAACACTAGAAAATAACAATCTCCACCAGAAAACAATAAAGATGGGAAAACTCACTCCAAACAACACATCCATAAATTGTGGATATACCAAAATAACTCTAAGTGAAGGTAAAACTACTTAACAAGAATATCAATTAAATTAGCTAAGTGATAAAAGTAACATACTTAATTTGTATCTCAAATTGATAAGGTTTGCTACACACTCTTTTATCACCTGTGTCTTTTCCTCTTCTTTAAAACCCTTGTGATCTTCTCTGAAACCTTTGTAAGTTGATTATTTGTAGTCTTTCTTTAGAAATTAAAAAATCCTTTTAAATAGATGACAAACGGGTTTAGCCTAAATAAAACAAATCTAATAAAATATTTTTTGATTCTTTAATTTTTTTTCTTTGGTGATTTTACATATGCCACCACTACCAAGGTAACTTTGATAACCTTCAATGTCCAAGGCTTTTACCGAAATTAAGTTGAGACGAATATCAGGAACATGTCTCATATTATTCAATTTAAGCTTACTTCCAACACCAGTTTCAATCCAAACATCTCTCACACCAACAATTTCGCAAATTCCCTCATTTTCCATTTTTACTCTTCCAAAATCACCAACTATATAAGATGAGAAGAAATCATGTCTAGGAGTAACATGGTATGAGGGACATGAATCAATAATCTAAGTTGAATATTGACATCTAAGATTTATGGAACTATCATTATAAATAACGTAGACATCATTATCACATGCAACTGTTGTCTTGTCTTTATCATTTTTCTTCTTATTACCATAATCTTTTTCCCTTGAATATTCTCTTTTGAGAAATATGTAATTCATTTTTATGTGTCCCACCTTGCCACAATTGTAGCATATAATTTATTTTCTAGTTCTTGACTTTTTGTGACTCTCAATTTTCTCACGCTTATAAAAATTTCTGGTTTTGCTTCTCCCTTTTAACTAGGTAACTATAGCTTCGGAATGATTAGGAGTAACAATCAAACCATGTTCCTTTCTTCTAACTTATCCATTAAGCATGCTATCTTTAATCATTGACATTACCAATTTCTCATTCGGAGCTGAATTAGTAAGTGACACAATGTCATACCCCAAATTCGCCCCATCAATTAAATAGTCATATTATTATTATGTTTCTAATCTCTAAGTCATATTGTTTAAATTTGTCAATTTTGAATGTTATTTTTATGAGGGTTTAAAATCTATAAGGGATATATATATATATATATATATATATATATATATATATATATATATATATATATATATATATATATATATATATATATATATATATATATATATATATATATATATATATATATATATATATATATATATATATATATATATATATATATATATATATATATATATATATATATATATATATATATATATATATATATATATATATATATATATATATATATATATATATATATATATATATATATATATATATATATATATATATATATATATATATATATATATATATATATATATATTAATCATGGAGGGGTGTATTATTTCAAGTGGACCATCAAAGTCTGATGGTCCATTAAGGATTTTTTTACTCGTTTTAAGTAAATAGGAGAAGGTTTTTTTTTTATATGTTGTTGTTGCAAGACCGACCCAATGAAGCTGAGTTTTGGCTCATTTTGTGTCCCTCAAGGTTGAGCAGAGTCAACTCCTGACTTTTGACCACCTAGTTCTTTTTATTATTTATTATTCTTTCTACAATTATATAATTATTAACATAATAATAATAATAATTATTCATTATTATTATAAGCGTCATTAACTATTATTGTTATTAAAACTATTATTATTATTTAAACATTAATATTATTTCAATTTCAATTATTTTTTTATTTTTTTATGTTGATCGAAAGTCAAAGATGGCAAAGAAACCCTAATTGCCCTAATCTTGTAAGTCAGCAGCGGTCGTTCATCACCTTGTTCATCGTCCTCTTCCCCAAGCCCAAAATCCAAAATCCAAGAAAATGCAAATCAAAACCGATATCAAATCTTCATCGAAATTGAATCAAATCAATTACACAAAAATTAAATCAAATTTCATATAAATTCAATAAAATCTCAATCAATTACAAATATGAGAATCAATTACAATCAATTTTTAAAATCAATCTAACCTAATTTACACCAATCTTCTATGAATCTTAAATTGAAACGACAATCAACAAATTTTTTCCTAAAAATAAATCTAACTCTAAACCTATAAAAATCCCTAATTTCTAAGAATTAGATGGGGGAATTGTTATAGAGAAGGAGTAGAAGAAGAGACGAAGAAGCATTCCTCAGAGCTTTCCCTATTCCAATCGATCTAGGGTTTCTA